TTGCGGTTATAAGCCTGCTACAGCTTGGGGGTTGACTCCCCCCCCCCCTCCACACCCGCTGCAGAAGGGGATCATATGGACCACTTTGTGGGGCGGTCGCACGTCCGCTCTTCCTCTGCCCCTCGCCTGTCACGGGGACACAGCAGCCGCTGCAGTCTGAGTCATGGCTGTTCAAAGGGATTTACAAGACAAGGTAGATGATCTTGAAAACCGCTCAATTTGCGCATCATAGGTCTACCCGAAGCATATATTCCCTCCATGCTTGTTGACGTACGTGCAGCGTCCATTCTGGAGCAACTAGGCCTGTGTTTTCCATGTGCAGTTGAGCAGGCTCACTGTATCAGCCCACCATCAGATTCCCGCTCTAAACCTAGACCTGTGATTGTCCGCTATCTGAACTATGCTGCAAGCCATCCTTCAAAAGTTTTGGCGCATGCATGCATTATCCGTGGATGGACACCAACTACTTTTGTTTGCGGACTACTTGACGTAAGGCCTTCTCTGCGATTTGCTCAACTCTCTACCACAAGCATGTCAAATTTACTCTGGCCTCTATATCCAACCAGCAGATGGAGACCAGCTCTTTCACCTCGCCCCCTGACGCGGAACAATATCTCAACAATATCCCTGAAACGGCTATGGATCAAAGTTCTCCTTCTACATCATCTTCTTCCAAACACTGCACCCTTTCAAAACTTACCAAGCCCTCAAAAACTGCCTCACAAACATGTACAGTTGCAAGAATCTTGATCGTGGGATCGTAGGTCTTCTGAGAGCTCTTTTCTGTGAGTCATGGTTCACATCAGACAGTGCTTCTTGAAACCAGTAAACCCAAAACAGGTGTGTGTTTTTTAAGGGCAGGACAGCTGTCAGCAACACATCCAATATCATCACACTGATTGGAGTCAAAATTGGCTCACTCCTGGCTCCAATTAGCTCTGGGATAAGTCATTAAGCTAGGGCCTCACATACTTTTTCCTCCCTGCACTGTGAATGCTTACATGTTATGTGCAATTAAACCATGGCAACATCTAATGTTTGTGTAGTATTATGTTCAGCAGACTGTGTTCTTCTATTGTTGTGATTTAGATGACGTTCAGAGCACATTTTATGCCCAATTCATGCAAAACTCCACGTAATCCCAAGGGGTTCACATACTTTTTCTTGCAACTGTACGGTTTGGTCAGGCCAAAGACCACTATGTTACACGCCGACTTGCCTCCCCATGGTCTTAAGTAATGGTTTTTCCTACTTTTTATATGCACTCAGGGACTACTGTCTACTGTCCTTTAGTACTTATCCTATGGTCCTTGTATATTGTTTTTTTCTAGGCCCTGACAACATTGGGGCCTGCTCTCAGATTCATTTATTTATTTTCTCGTACTGGTTACCTGCCTTCCTTATGGTTAATTACTATGCAAGCTTATCCCCTCTGGTAGGCGAGGCAGGATCTCATGCTTGCTCCCCCTTTTGCTCCCCCTCATCCCTGCAATACCCCTTCCGCTATCCTCCATTTTCCCTCCCCCCTCTCCTCAATACTCCTTACCAGGATCCCACGTCTCTTACCTTCATCAGCTGGTTATTTTTCTCCGGTCATGATATTCCCTAAAACAGGATCCCTTTCAACGCTCCTTCATAAAGATTCTACTGCGACAGGACCACTACTCCATCTCAGATATCTGGTCTCATCTAACCTCTCATCAATCTGCAAAATACCACCTTACTCCATTTAAGCCATGGACCTCCAAACTGTCTACGGCTGAAGCTCCCAACAAAATACTGTCGGGATACAGAAAAAATTGCTTTGCTTGTTCTCTGCAAAACATGGCGCAAAACTCAATTTAAAATCATCCACCAAGCCTATTATCCTTTTAGGTCTTCGGTACATCAATCAAATATACAACATCTCTATTTCCAAAGATCCCATGTTCTGTCTCTTCAGCTACCAAGACCCTACAAATTTGGCTCATCCTAACAATCTTCCCCAGTGGATACACATTTGTCTCTTAGTAGCTCGCAGAGCCCTCATGCAAGCTTGGATCCATCCAAACCCCCCACCTCTCAAAATCGTGACACAGGCGCTAACTAATCTATTTAATTTGGAAAAGCTTTTCACCATCACTCAAAACTTCAAGTCCACACATCGCTTTATCTCAAGATGGAGGTGCTACATGGAGCATTCCTTTACACCTGCTGAATTAGCCGCTCATATGGAACCCTTCTGTTATACAGATTGCTATCTCAAAGCTCAACTAACCAATACTTTGGGTAAACTCCAAGTATCCAACCCACCTTCTAGCCCCGCCTCACAGTTATCCTCCTCCCTGTCCAACAGTGGAGTGCATGCTTCTCTCCAAGGTATCTAGCCCACATAGTAATTCTCTTCAAATGTCTTCTCAAATAGAGATGTGCTTTTGTTCAGGCTTCCGCAACCAAGCTTCCGTTCCTAGGGATTTGCTCAATTTTGAGGTTCTGCTCTTTTTACTGATATTTTGTATAATTTATGTCTATTTCTGACACTGTTTCCTTCCCATTATAATTGTTGTACTGGTTTTTGTACTCATAGTCTACACATATGTTGGCTGATAGATTTGTATATCACGATTGTATTCTTGTACTTATTTTACAAAAATACAATACAAATTTGTTTTAAGAAAAAAAAGAAACAAACCGTGGCCTTAGATGTGTGTTTTGCATCATTTTCATGTTGGAAAAGTACACAACGACCAAGGACACGGAGTGATGGTAGCATCTTCTCTCTCAATATAGAGTAGTAGATTTGTGAATTCATGATACCAACAGTGAAATGCAGCTCCCCGACACTAGCAGCACTCATGCAGTCCCACAGAAGGACACTGCCCCCACCATTTTTCACTGTAGGCACCATACATTTTTCTTTGTACTCCTGACTTTTGCAACGCCATACAGTTTTGAAGCCATCAGTTGCAAAAACATTTATCTTGGTCTCGTCACTCCAGAGTACAGAGTCCCAGTAGTCTTCACTTTCAGCATGGGCTCTGGTTCTAGGGGAACTTTTTGGTGCATGGGCTTTAGGAGAGGCTTCCTTTGTGGATGACACCCATGCATGCCATTCCTCCACAGTGTACGCTGTATTGTATCATGGGAAACAATCACCCCAGTTTGGCTTTTTAACTGCACGTAACTTGCATGGCGATTTTCTTCAACCTCTCTCATTAGAAGATGCTCCTGTCGAGGTGACAGCTTCAGTGGACAGCCTGGATGTCTCTGTGAGATGGTTGCAGTTTCATCTTTGTTTAAATTTTTGTATCATTTTTGCTACAGTATTCTGACTGATAAGTACAGCTTTGCTGATCTTGCAGCCTTCACCTTTCTTGTGTAAATAAATTATTTTCTTTCTCAGGCCTTGTGACATTTCTCTTCCATGTGGTGCCATTGATGACAGCATGAAATGGGGAGGGGTTTTCTTTAAATAACTCCTTTTATAATCAACTGTGTGCTAGACATCTGTTTAATGAATAATTAGACTCATCTGTAGTTGAATTATTGTTAATTAGGATTTTGTTGTCTAAAATTTAGGTTTGCTCCTTAAGCAGGCCATAGACGTGGGGACGTGGTTGTAAATCGGTCGTTCAGACGGCCGACGTTGCCACTGATTAAGAAAAAAAAACGTTGGCGGGTTTTGGTTCTGTCTATGGTCGTCAATTAATATAATAGCGGTGTCCCTGCATAGAGACCCGCTATTATATTTGACAGAAGAAAACGATTATGCAGAAGAAGAAGACAAGAAACAACATTGTATCTATTTGTACTTGAATAGAAACATCTGTATCCGAAATGCATACAAATAGATACAATGTTGCAACTTTTTTTCTTCTCCGTCTTCTTCTGCAAAATCTATTTCATCTTCTCTTTTCTTCTATTCTTCTTCTTGATATTCTATTTCTTATTCTCCTGCAAAATCTATTTCTTCTTTTTCTTCATAGTCAATTTATTGTCAAATCGGCCAGAAGAACGGCCGATTTAACCATAAATTACCTTGAAGATCGGCCGATCTAACAAATCATCCCAGGATTTACCAGCTTGGATGATTTTCAAAATCTCTTAAAATTAAGAAAAACGGCCAACATTTTCCCCACTAACGGTACGAATATCAGCCGATTTTTTTATCAGCCGATAATTCGGCAAGAAAATTGGAAATTTATGGTCGCCTTTAGACTTTTATTGGGGTGTATTCATTTTTGCAACATGATCTTGAATGAATTTGTTAGGAAAAATACTTTTTTGTGTGTGCAAATTAACAAATTTGGTTTGCAATCAATGGCCCGCATTTGTGAGAGTATTTTGTAGTATAGTGTCTCATAAAAAATATTGATTTTGAAAGGAAAGTAAAGGTTTTCTGACAAATCTGTTGGGGTGTACTCATTTATGCTGTGTACTGTATATGATTTGTAAACCACTTCAAGTCCAGACGCTTTCACCCCCTTCCTGTCCAGGCCAATTTTCAGCTTTTAGTGCTATCACACTTTGAATGACTATTGCGCGGTCATGCAACACTGTATCCATATGAATTTTTTAGCATTTTTTGAGACAGATAAAACTTTATTTTGGTGGTATTTATTCACCACTGGGATTTTTATTTTTTATGCTATATAAATAAAAGTCCAAAAATACTGAAAAAATGTGTTTTTCTTATAAAATTTTGCAAATAAATCTTTCTCCATAAATCTTGGCCAAAATGTATTCAGTTATCTTTTTAGTAAAAAAGAAAATAACCCAAATTAGTTTATAACCAAAAATGATAATTTTTCTAAAAAATGTTTTCATTTTTATTTTTTTTATATTCTATAGCTGTGATTGGTCACAGCTTGTCACATGGTAAAAGGCTGTTGTGAATAGCCTTGTACTATGTGACCTCTGTGATCATTCACAGATATCACACATAGTAAGCAATGATGTCAGAAGTGACATCTTACTTGCTACTCTTCATGTGATCACTGATTGTGTGAGGTCCCGATCATGTGATCACTGATTGGCCAGAGGTCCTGTACAACGATCGTGTTCCACTGTGTCCGGAGGACATAGCGGGCACCGGATCGTGGTGCTGCGCGCTCCCAGGGAGCGTACACAATCAGGGGGCGGGGAGGTAGTAAACGGCCACCCCCCCCTGCACTGCTCCCATCCAGCCGTTTATATACATGGGCCGAAGTGGTTAAAGTAATCCAACAAGAGTCAAACTTTTCTACAGTAGTTTTTAAACATTTCCTACCATCCAAAACACAGCATAACATTTTAGTTAGTGTAAGAAACTAAAGAGGAAAATGGACTCCACTGAGAAACAAATGTAAAAAATCAGCAAACCTCCTGCAATCACTTCACGTAAGTGTATTCATTCAGTACATTGCAATCACTATATCCAGTGAGAACCTTTATCAAAACAGGACATGAGGAAATAACAGTCTTCAGACATTCTAGTTTATAGAAATTGGGTGAGTATGGTGCCCATTTATTGTTAGATCCAGTATATGATATAATGCCATTTTGTGCTGTTTTATTAACTCTAAAAAACACCCTGCAAAAAATGTACACTAGTCTTTATCAAACAATAGTAATTAGGGATTTTAGCATATACTTTTGCCGGACAAACAGATAATTGAGAGTGCTAAAGAGTCACAAATCCCAATGATGCATATTGTGTATAATACTGGTATGTAAAATTACTTTTTCTGAGCGAGAACAGCCTCTTATGAGATTACACATGACCAATTATGTTATGATTTTGTTCTATAAGCAGTTTGGTCTGCCAGCCACCTGGCAATTGGAGCCTGCCACTGAAACTCTGGGTATGCTCAAGCTGAATGGTGAATTGATTCCCTTCAAATTCTGCTACAAACCAGCTTCCTATGCACATTTCTACTCTTGGGACTAAACACTCTTGTGTCTAAATTTCTCTGTCACACTAGGCATAGAGGTTCATGCCTTGCTAGCCAGTTAATAGATGTGACCTAAGCTGCAATTTTTGTAAGATATTTTGTCTCGGAATGGGCTTCTTTTCATGCTTGCTTTATTTCCCACATTGGTACAGGCTGACAAAAGTACCAGCTAGTGTGAAATTTCACAGCTTGATGCTGTGGTTCTATCTATGCAGCTGTCAACCTTTTCTGTGTGTTTATCCTAGTGGTTTATGGTGTTTCCTACCTTGAAGGGTTTTTATTTTCTGTCACAACAACAATAGCAGTGGCTTCCAACATATTGCACAAGGTTTTCATGTAAATTTTAAAGGTTAGAGCTTTGCTTTGTATCCTTAACCAGGGTGCCCTACTGCAGCAACGTCACACGTGGTAACGTTTAGTAGCTCTTTCACAGCTGAAGTGTTTCAAACACTAATGAATGAAAGCCTGCTCATGTAATGCAGAGAAACTTGAAGGCGTGCTTTATTGAATGGGGTAGTGTGGCAGCCTGGGAAAGGAAGAGGGTTATAAATTCTGTCACTTAGCCACCCAGACAAAATGAAGCCATGTGGAAAATTAAATCTATTTAAAGTATGAAGACTTTTATAATCTGGTTTAGCTAGTGGTGAAGGAGATTATTTTTTCTGTTTAGGTAAATGTTTTTCCTAGGTTTCTCACTGTGTACATAATGATTAAAAAAAACCTAAATTATCAGCCTGGTATCCTAATGGGTAGGCTCACATTCCAGTGAAGTACCCACTGACCATTTTACAATGCAGAATCCATGACCACATCTTAGTGTGTACACCTAGTAAAAAGTAATTCTACGCTACTTGTAACTAGTCTGCTTGGCTGATTTTAACATGTTCCCTAAATTATAGGAAATATAGTTACAGGTACAATGTTTTTAATTAGTTTTTTTCAACTTTTCATAATTTACTGCCAAATGTAACTGCTGAATAGTTGCAATAGTACATGTTTTTAAGGATATATAAACTGATACACAACTGCTTCAGGACAAAAACACACTATTAAACATACCGGGCTTGACTTACTAAAGCTGGAGAGAGCAAAATCTGGTGCACTTCTGCATAGAAACCAATCCGCTTCCAGGTTTTATTGCCAAAGCTTAAAATGTTAGTAAACCCAGGACCCTGCATTTACTATGTCTGGCCTCCGACAGTACACAGAACATGGAAATGCAATTATTTTAGTAAATCTAACATCAGCAGAGCACTGGTTAAAGCTTGCAGGACTTTTCTTTCTGCACTAGGAGGAAGCAAATCCCCTGACGCTCTGTCTGGACAGTGCTGATTGGCGCTGTGCTGATCACATGCACTCTCCAAAGAAAAAAAACCCTTCTATAGCAATACACACCAAACTGAGCGTGTGAATGTGTCTACGGGTTCAGTCTGTCTTATCAGGAGATAAGACGTGGACATTTGAACAAGAGGAGGGGCAGAGAAGACAGGATCAAACAGCTTTTTTTACACAATGCAGAGGATTAGCCCCTTAGGTTCCACAGTGAGTATAACAGACATGCTTTACTGCATATAGAGACTGATTTTTACTGTTGTGGGTTTAGTAACACTTTAATTGAACAAGCTGAGGTTAGAAGCTGATTGGCTACCATGCACTGGTGCACCAGATTCTGAGTGCTCCAGTTTTAGTAAATCCCCCCCTAAGTATTAGATCTAATAAACCTTATAATGTTTCTATTGCTATCTGTCTAGGCAAAAATCCATTCTTAGCTCCCTGTTAGGGAAATCAAGCATACTTTAGGAGATCGGGCAAATTACATTGTGCAGGGTGTCCTTAAAGTCTGGACACATATGAAATAAATATATATACAGTTGTGTTCAAAATAATAGTGTGTTGAAAAAAGTGAATAAAGCTCAAAATCCTTCTGATAGCTTTTATTTCCATACACACAAATGCATTGGGAACACTACACATTCTATTCCAAATCAAAACATGAAGAAAAATATATCAAATTTGTGTTGTTTCTCTAAAACAAATTGAAGAAAAGTGAATAATAGACTGTTCAAAAAAATAGCAGTGTTTGTATTCTTCTTTACAAACTCAAACATTCACTATATAAACTGAAATATGTTTGAAGATTTTGCTTTCCTTTGAATCACTTAATTAATATTTAGTTGTATAAGCACTGTTTCTGAGAACTGCTGTACATCTGTGTTGCGTGGAGTCAACCAACTTCTGGCAGCTGTGAACAGGTATTCCAGCCCAGGATGATTGGACTACATTCCACAGTTCTTCTCTATTTCTTGGTTTTGCCTCAGAAACTGCATTTTTGATGTCACCCCACAAGTTTTCTATTGGATTAAGATCCGGGGATTGGGCTGGCCACTCCATAACGCCAATCTTGTTGGTCTGGAACCAATATGTTGCACATTTACTGGTGTGTTTGGGGTCGTTGTCTTGTTGGAACACCCATTTCAAGGGCATTTCCTCTTCAACATAAGGCAGCATGACCTCTTCAAGTATTCTGATGTATTCAAACTGATCCATGATCCCTGGTATGCAATAAATAGGCCCAACGCCGTAGTCTGAGAAACATCCCCATATCATGATGCTTGTGCAACCATGCTTCACTGTCTTCACAGTGTACTGTGGCTTGAATTCAGTGTTTGGGGGTCGTCTGACAAACTGTCTCCGGCCACTAGACCCAAAAAGAACAATCTTACTTTCATCAGTCCACAAAATGTTGCGCCATTTCTCTTTAGGCCAGTCAATGTGCTGTTTGGCAAATTGTAACCTCATCAGCACATGTCTTTTTTTCAACAGTGGGACTTTGCGGGGGCTTCTTGCAGATAGTTTGGCTTCACATAGGCGTCTTCTAATTGTAACAGTACTCACAGGTAACTTTAGACCTTCTTTGATCTTCCTGGAGCTGATTGTTGGCTGAGTCCTTGCCATTTTGGCTATTCTTCTATCCATTCGAATGGGAGTTTTTCTCTTTCTTCCATGTCTTTCAGGTTTTGGTTGCTATTTTAAAGCATTTGCGATCATTTTAGCTGAGCAGCCTATCATTTTCTGCACTTCTTTATATGTTTTCCCCTCTCCAGCTTTTTAATCAAGGTACGCTGTTCTTCTGAACAATGTCTGGAACGACTCATTTTCCTCAGAATTTCAGATAGAAATGCATTGTAACCAGCATGTCCAACATTTGCTGCCTTCCTTCCTTAAATAAGGGCAATAATTGCCACCTGTTTTTCAAAGAATGAATGACCTCACTAATTGAACATGCCCCTTTCAATTAGTGATTCAATTACACAGAATCAGCAGTATGCATGTCATGACTGTTGGGTCTGTTGGCGGGTTGCTGTTCATAAACGGCACCCCCCATTTCTAGCTGTGCGCGCTCCCTGGACACAGTGAAACACCAATCGTAGGATGGGACCTCTGTACAAGGTCCTGATCATGTGATCACTGATTGGCCAATCAGTGATCACATGCAAAGTAGTAAGCAAGATGTCACTTCTGACATCATTGCTTACTACGTGTGAAATCTGTGAGTGATCACAGAGGTCACATGGTACAAGGCTATTCACAACAGCCTTGTACCATGTGACAAGCTGTGACCAATCACAGCTCACTCAGTATTTCTCAGTGGCTGCAAGAATGCAAACAGAGAGAAAGAGAAATTATTGCTTTTACATCCTATATGGGTGTAAAAGCAATCACTGTAAAAAAAAAAAAAAAAAAACATCACCCCCCACAAGTAGTACAGTGTCACCATGGTGACACTGTACTGCTAGGGTGACAGTATGTAAAAAAAAAAATATAAAAAATGTAAGGAAAATGTTTACAAATTATATATTTTGGTTATAAACTAATTTGGCTTATTTTTTTTTTTTACTAAAAATATAACTGAATATATTTTGGCCAAAAAATTTATGATGAAAGATTATTTATTTGCAAAATTTTATTAGAAAAACACTTTTTTTCAAAATTTTTGGACTTTTTCATTTACATAGCAAAAAAAATAAAAATCCCAGTGGTGAATAAATACCACCAAACTAAAGCTTTATTTGTTTCAAAAATAATGCTAAAAAATTCATATGGGTACAGTATTGCATGACCGCGCAATTGTCATTCAAAGTGTGATAGCGCTGAAAATTGCCCTGGACAGGAAGGGGGTAAAAGTGTCCGGACAGGAAGTGGTTAACCCCCTTGACTTCTTTGCTAAAAGAGAATGCGTACTCAATGAAATTCAGACATGAGCCACCTGAAGGAACCCATCATGAATGAATGTGCTCAAATTAACGTGCAGTTGCATCAGGTTCAATATTCCTATTAAATAAAATGTTGAGAAATGTATTGAAAATATGCATTTTGACTATACCCTGTATAGTAGATATATCATATGGGTTGTGGTAGCCAAAAGGGAAGGAGCAGTCCCTTCTGTAAAGCAAACCTTAGGTTCACATTAACAAACAGATGTAATTTGCATTCACATGCCTTTTTCCATTCAGAATATGTATAGTGGTTATTAAATTGTAGAGCCAGCTGTATGTAAAGGAAGGAAGAAATGGATTCCTTTGGCACAGAAGGAAAAATATTAGATTATTATTATACAGCATTTTATAAAGTGCCAACAGTTCGCTCAGCGCTGTACATTACAATGGGAGACAGAACATGCGACAGTACAATAACAATACAATGCGAAGCCGTGGGAGTGTATGAGTTGGCCAAGGGATACCAATTCATTAAGAAAACGGATATGAAAGATATTACCTACAGTTTCAGGTTTGACAGCAGAATGAGGTTTTAATACCAGCCTTGTTGTTTTCTGTTTTGGTTTTGAGAACAATTATTCATTGTTCGAAAATAACAGATGTCTGAAGATGGAAATGCATATCAACATTAGTTGTGTTGCTTGCATGACCGGTTTTCAGTTTATCTGTTCTTAGATTTTGTGATAAAGACTTCAAGCTTGGTTCTTTAACCATTTGCCGCCCGGCCAATGACCTTTGGCGGCGGCAAAAGTGCTTCTGCATTACGGGTGCACGCCGTTTGGCGTGCTCCCGCACATGCTCAGTTCACGCAACTGCAGAGCGGCACAGCGGCGCCATCTGTCACCGGCCGTGTACCTCGGACACGGCCGATGACAGATCTGAGTTGCTGGTACCATGTGACCTGCTGTGACCAATCACAGCAGGTCACAACAGTTGTATACAATGGATGGCTTAATTCATGCCATCCATTGTATACTAGTGCCTAGCTGTGAATGGTCACAGCAGGTCACATGCACATGTCATGTGATTAGCTGTGACCAAATCACAGCTAAGCACAAAAAAAAAAAAAAAAAGTGAATGAATCGATTTCATTCTGGTAAATGCTTGCTTATAGCAAAGTAATTCTTTGCTATAAGCAAATTGTGTAAAAAAAAATAAAAATAAAAAAAATACTGATCACTTCCCCAAAGTAGTACAATGTTATTATGGTAACATTGTACTACTTTGATCATAGTAAAATATGAAAAAAAAATCTTAAAAAAAATAAAAGAAATGTAATAAAAAATTAAAAATAAAAAAATAAAAAATAAATATATATATATATATATTTTTTTTTTCATACTGTCACCAGTCAGTGTCCCTGTTCACCGCCATGCCAGTTATATGATGATGCTGTACTGCACTGGTGACAGTATGTAAAAAAAAAAAATAGTGAAAATAATTTTTTTAATTTTTTAATTTTCCGAAAAATTATGACAAAAAAAAAATACAACTTCAAAAAACTCGCCATTCCTCTTGTGAAGTACGTCAGACTGTCTACTCTGCAAAAAGGGGTCATTTGGGGATATTTGTACTGTTCTGACATTCTTGGACCTCAAGAAATTAGATTGGCCGTCAGTACTTCAGGATTGATCAATATTCAGATCTATACCATAGTTTGTGAACTCTATAACTTTCCTACAAACTAAAAAATACATCCTAATTTGGGTTATTTTCATCAAAGACATGTAGCAGAATACATCTCAGCCTAAATTTATGAAGAACAATTATTTATTTGTAAACTTTTATAACAGAAACAAAGAAAAACTTGTTTTTTTTCAAAATTTTTGGTCTTTTTTTGTTAATTTAGCAAAAACTAAAAACCCCAGCGGTGATTAAATACCACCAAAAGAAAGCTCTAGTTGTGTGAAGAAAAGGATAAAATTTTAGTTTGGGTACAATGTTGTATGACCGCGCAATTGTCATTCAAAGTGTGAGAGCGCTGAAACCTGAAAAATGGCCTGGGCAGGAAGGTGTAAAATTGCATGGTATTAAAATGGTTAAAGGCTTTAAATATATAGTTACAATGACTGTCTCTTTTTGCTGTAATTGGCCCAATATCTATTAGTTCATATACCAGCCATGGTCCATTGTGTGAAATTTGCAAGACAATTTTTTAATACATCTTGACTTGCATCTGCACCTGCATCTCCTATTCTGTTCTCCATTGCTGTATTTCTTAGGACGCACCGTGCATCAATAAAGGCTTTACCTTAAAGTAGAAGTTTAGGCACTATAACTCCTACCTTTTAAATGTTGCTGCATACATGGCCCCTTTGTGTGATGTGTGGATGGTAGGAGGAGATAGCGTCTCTCTCTCTGACAACACCTAGAGCAGTGGATGTAGTTGGATGTCACTGCTCTAGTGAATTCCTTTCTGTCATTAGCCCTGCACACAGAGGGGCTGGGGCTTTGCAGTCACATGACCACATGGAAAATGAAAAAAAAAAAACGTATTTGCAATTTGTGATTCATTGCATCCAGCGCGCATTGGGGGAATTGAGAGTGTCAGCATTCAAATGGTAGGGATTATAGTACATACATTTTTGTTTTTTGTTTTTTTTTTTTTTTCATTTGAAACTATTGATACTATATATGATTTGATATTTTTTCATTAGCTATGAAGGATCTACAACCTTCTTTCACAATTATTTTGTTTTACTGCTTCTCCGGTCTATGATTAACCATTACCTCCCTTTGTTGTGGACATCTTGTGTTAAAGTGGTTGTAAAAGCACAAGGATTTTTACCTTCATGCATTCTATGCATGAAGGTAAAAAACCTTCTGTGTGAAGCAGCCCCCCTAATACTTACCTGAGCTCCATCGCAGTCCAGCGATGAGCACAAGATTCTCGGCTATCCAGAGACTCTCCCTGCTAATGGGCTGAGACAGAAGTGGGAGCCACTGGCTCCTGCTGCTGTCAATCACAGCCAATGAGGAGAGACAAGGGGCGGGGCAAGACACAGCTCTGTGTGTAAGTGGACACACAGAGCAGTGGCTTGGGAGTGAGCCTGCTTGGGTGCCCCCATAATAAGCTGCTTCTTCTGGGGATGCTTGTCAGGAGGCAGGGGCCAGGAGCGCCAGCGGGGGATCCGAGAAGAGGATGATCAGGTACAAAACCACTGCAAAGAGCAGGTAGTATAACATGGTTGTTATATTTTTTTAATTGCCTTAAAGTGATAAAGAAAGGGGGCAGAGTGTTTATCATTTCCAAGCAAGCAATGTTGGTTTCCTGCAGAGTGATAAAACACAAGTAAGTTTCAGATTCTCAAAGTACTTTCAGATTTTTCCAAAATTTGTTTCCTCCATTAAAAAATAAATCATTTTTTTGCACACGCTACAGTCATTTGGGGGAGGGGGATGTGGGGTTGTCGGTTAGTTTACTAGGGCTATAGTCTGAAAGATTATGGACAGATTTCATTGGCCCTCATTCTTCATTTGAAGCTTATCTGAAAAGATCAACATTGCAGACAGTTAATAGGCCTGATTGACTTTACTTAAAATCTAAAATAAAATGTCCCATCAATATTAGCTCAAAAGTTGTATCTTCTAAAATTCTGCAAAGAATGTCAAGTGAGTAAATTACAACTTCAAAAAACTTGTGGTAACATTCGTATTGTGTAAATCAAACTCTGGATATTTGTACTATCCTGGCATTTTTGGGCCTCAAGAAATCAGATAGGCTGTCAGTACATCAGGATTTATATATATATATATTATATAGTTTGTGGACTCTATCACTTTCCGACAGGCTAAATAACATACATTGATTTGAGTTAATCTTACCAAAGAAATGTAGGAAAATACATTTTGGCTTAAATCTGTGAAGAAAGATGATTTATTTGCAAAATGATAGAACAAAAACAAATAAAAACATATTTTTTTCAAACTTTTCGGTCTTTTTATTATTTAGCAAAAAAAAAAAAACAGTGGTGATTAAATACCACCAAAAGAAAGCTCTATTTGTGTGAAAAATATGATAAAAATTTAATTTGGGTGCAGTGTTGCATGACCGAAAAATTGTCATTTAATGTGTGACAGCACTGAAAGCTGAAAATTGGCCTGAGTAGGAAGGGGATGAAAGTGTCCAGTACTGAAGTGGTTAAAGAATTCCGGTGCTGTACTTTAAACCACATATCAGTAATTAACCTTGATCTTGTGTTTTGTCAATTTCAGGAAGAAACTGAAGAGGCCTCCTCACACGAATCTGAAGAGGACTAGACAACCGCCAACATGAATCTCTACCTCAGACAGCAGTTTTTCTTAGATTCAGATTCAGTCCCTTCAACTTTTCTGGATCTCAGAAATGAAAAGATGCTGCTTTGACCACTTAATTTGTACTACCCCCATCTCTTCACTTGTTGCCTATTGGGCAGAATTCAAAAATGATTCAACCTCTCCAAAAAGTTGTTCATTACTTTCTTTATAATCCTTTTCACTGTCCCAGGTTTAGTTCTAAAATACTGCTGTAAGACAGGGGATACAGATAAATGGTAACTTTTAAAAAAATGTTTTTATCTTTAACCTACTAATCAATAATGCTGTTGAGAAAAGAATGTGTGGGTCAAACATTCTTGAATCAGGTTTTAGTCATTGTCACTCATTGCACTGCATACACAAGGACTTTTAAAACAAAATGGGCATTGAAATGGGCAAAGCTTGGTGTGCATAGATGAGTAATCCACACCAGCTAACACCCAAACTTGACAAAACTCCCTTAGAACACCAAAGATGAGGGATTTTTTTCCCCCAAAGCTTCTTGTAGATCTTTACTTTTTGCTTAGTAGCTTCTTATGTTTCTGTAAGGAAGCAACATGCTTAAAACCTGTGTTTCTAAACAAAACTGTTCTACCATATGGTTTGAGACAAAAAAAATACTTCATTTTATATCCAATATAGGCTGAAGAATTATACTTCACCCTCATTCAGCCATTTTTCATTAAAAAATATTGGGAAATAAAGGATCCTTGAGCAATCATACTTTCGTTGTGAGGGTTAAACCCCAGAGAGGTTCTGTCATTGTAAAAAGCCATTTTAAATGCTTGTGAGATATCAATTTTAGAGGGGCATGGACACAGATATTTTTCTTAATGTATTTCAGTGTTTGTGTCTTATAAATAATTCTTTGATGGCCAAAAAAATATCATGATTGCTCATATATTGAATTTTTAAAGTTCAGGATTCTTTGATTTTAATATACATGTTCTTCATAATACATCAATAAACTAAAAGCCAAAGTGCAAATTTCAGCGCTCCACACAGCTGTTAACACGTGTTGCCAAGTATGACCTTGAAAATGTTGTAAGTATCTAATATTATCTTTATGTTTTAGTAAATAGGGATGAGATTGTTTTTTTTTTTTTTTATTTTATTTTACATTTATTGTAAACACCATAGCTAAGATTTATTACATTTCACTTAAATATACCAGTAAATAAAATCCCTCACATTGTTTGAGCATAATGGGTGTTGCATCCAAAGAAAGGGACTATCAGCTCGTCTTTTGGAAAGACATTGCATTACCCCTTTATTTCTGGTTCATCAAGTAGGTCTCCAATAAGCAGTATGAATTAGAAAATTGGGCATAACTGATGCTGAAGATTTTAATATCTTGGAAGGGAGGGGCAACACAAGAGGGCATATTTATCAATGTTTTTCACCCAAGACTCACACATTTTTTTCTAATTAAATCCTAGGTGATAAAGGCTTGAATTTTAAGTGAAAACATTGATAACTAGACCCAATGTCTTATAAGGATTGGTCTTTCTGTAACACAAATTTAATATTTTCAAACACATAAAATTTGAAAGACTAATTAGTAAGAAAAAAAAAAACTTTTGAATTTGCCTAAAAGGAGACTGTCTCATTATAGTTTAAGCAGAATACTGTAGGAACAACTTGGGAGATATGGTTCTTTTTTGTTTATGGTTGAAAATGCTTGAATAATATACTACAGCAATACATGTTAAAATACTCAGTAATTCTGCAATTCTACCAAGATCTGTACTTCAGCAAAGCAAATAACACAGCAGAAGCTTTACTTATTTTATATGTTGACCATTAATGTTTGGTTGTAATGATCACTTAAAACTCCCCTATCCTTTACAGCCATGAAAGCTGCCATCCTAGCCCTTGTTGCTACGGTGCTGCACATGTGATCAGTTATGATACCAGCCATTTGATGGCTTGACAGATCGGTTGAGAGCTAACCTAAGCACACTAGGAACTATAACCGTTATCTTGCAAGGTATGCCTTGGATTTAACTGTTTTGGAAAACCGTTTAATTGGGGTTTAGATCTGCTTTAAAGGAGATTTTGGCCTCCAGTGTTTTGGTCCACTGGTCGAATGTCTTGCATTAATATATCAGTCATGTATTATCTTTTGGCTGTGAAATATTCAAACTCAGCCCTCTGAATTATTCCTTGAAATAAAAAATTCAGAAGGTGAGGTTTCTGCCTAGATTACCGAATTTGAACTGTGCAGTAGTAAAAGAAGAAGATGCAAACTGAACTGTCTTTATCCAAATGTACTGCAAATGCTTGCATCATTGTTAGTAAACTTTTTTTGACAAACATCCAAGATGACAAAAGGAAACCCCATACAACAATTTTGTAAATTATGTATTTTCATAATTTAGTCCAATGTAAAAATGTATGGTTTAACTTTCAGGGTCATATATTAAAAAGGATGTGCCTATCACATGCCAATGCTTGGCAAGCAACATTTATACCTTCAGTACTCATGACTACCTCTGAATTTTACAGATCCCTACAGCCTAAAGACTTAATGCTGCTATACTCTGCTATACATTACAGAAAATGTTAATAGTACAGTTAGTTATCCCTTTTTTTACTGGTTTGTCTACCTAAAAACCCTAATACAGTTATGCAAAAAAATCTTTGTTCAGCAATAACATTTTGTTCCTTTCAACTTTGTATTTGGATTTCTGTATATTGAACTGTTAACTTGAATATATTTTTGTACTGAATTCTTATAGGTTTTTAAGGAGAATCTTTCTGATTTACACAATACAAATGTTAAGCCTTTTGTTGAAATATTACTGTCCATATATTTACCTCAGATTTGTATTGTTAAAGGAGAATGGACTAATTAATTTACAAAAACAACAGTACCTCCAGATATCAGACGGATACTATTAAACTGATCATACTTCTAGGACTGCAATTAATCCCTAACCATTGTATTTCTGTAGAACTTCATACCAAGTAAACATATATATATATATATATATATATATATATATATATATATATATATATATATATATATATATGTCTGTGTTTATTAGAAGGGAACCTGGGTTAAATTAAAATTTGCTCCCTGCTGGAGTCATCTCTGCAACAGTGAGGGGTTTCATTATGCCACATAGCTTTATTTGTGCCAGGTTGATTGACTGGGACCCTGTGGAGGTCTAAAACTGGGCAAAAACCAAACTGCTTGCTCACAGATATAACTTTTGGGCTTCCCCTTATTTTACTGTTCACAATGCAGTGCAGCTGCACTGCTGGCAATCAAGTTCTAATTTGGTCCAACTTTTGAAAATAAGCCTCATTTAATGTCAATGGTTGCACTGCAATACTAGGTTTTACCACCTTAATGGTTAAAATTAAGGTGGGCGAGTGAGCTTTTCAGAGGGGGGCCTCCAG